CCCTGAGAGCAGAGGAAAACTAAGCAACAACCAAAAATTTAAGTGACAGATAAATTAAAAATGCAGGAGTTGCACTTGATGAACAAGATATTATTGTCATTTTAAGACAGTCCTCCAAAAGCATTCAATCAGGCTCATTATCCTAAAACTCAACGACAAAAGCATTAAAGCAACATTAATGAGAAATGGCAAGGCAATGCAAGATGTAGGCCATAAAACTAGATGATGTAAAAGAATTTAACCAAGGACTTTTAAGCAAACTTCTTCACCCAAACGTCATCGGTTCCATCTATGGACTCAATCAATCAGGTTTGATATTTATAAGTACATGGACATTGTTATCCGTGACATCCTTAAGTTGTGCTAATCCAAGCAATAATTGTCAGCTTTAAGCCAGCATGCATAGTGGTATTAAGGGGACAAAGATAATATATTTGCTTTTTTGCTTTTATGTTGATAAGAAAAATAATTTGTTATTACAGTATATTTTTATCAAGATCTTTTCATGATTGTATTGATGTATATTTGATTGTATTGTAGTAAATTGTTATACTCATCAGTAATGGAATTGTTACAAACCTTGCCTCATAGTGCAACATTTTTTCTTTCTATTTTCAAATTATTTTTTTTCTCGTGTACAATGAATGTGTGTTCACGTACTACGTGTATTTTCTGCATTCTTTGACCACAAACATACCTATCATAAGATTCAATTGTTAATTTTACTATGAAGATGGAACGTTGTATTTTTATACAAATGACCCATGTAAAGTTCATTTCATACAATTGTCAAGGCTTTAATGATCATTTGATAAGATGTTTCTCAGCTTCTTAAAGAAAGAGATGCTAATATATACTGCTTGCAAGATGTTCACTTAATATCCAAAATGCAAAAGTTATATATACATGTATTAGTTATGGAATGCTGAATGTTATTTTAATTTTTCTAGATTAAATACTCAATGAGAAGTCTTTCATAAGAAATCTAGATGTTTAGTTTATTAGAAATTTATTGAAAGTGAAGGAAACTACATAGTTTTAAATCTCACAGTTTATTCTATAAAGTTGACTTTGATTAAAATCTATGGTACTATTTCTGATCAACCTATGTTTTCTGAAAATACTTTCAAAATACATGTAAATATTTTATACAGTTAGAAATAATTCACTTATATGATGGGGAGATTTTAGAATTACTTTCTTTAATTATTTTTAATTTATATATTTATAATATAAATCAACAGAAAAATTAAAAACTATGGAAAAGTTTTTTTTATAGATTTCATTTATAGTCGACAATTGTATGACCAATATATGAATCATTGGTGATTTTAAGAAAATTTTGGAAAAGAACAAATTCTATTCAACAGCTTGATTAGATTTTCCTTAGTTCAGACGTTTAACCCAAAGTTAGGCTTATCCCTCATGTACAGACTCAATCAAAGCAAGTCTGCAATTTTCTTGTAATATTGCTGTTTTAAGTGCCTGATAGGGATCACTTTTTCTCATATATTTGTAATGTTAGTCTTAGTTATAGATCAAGACCAATCACACCTCAATACATCATCCTTATACCTCATGTACAGTCTCAATCAAACCGAGTCTGCAATTGTCATGTAATTTTGATGTGTTTAATGCTTCCGAGGGATCACTTTGTATCCAGATAGTTAACACCACAACGGCAGGTCCAGCACCTTTAAGTGTTGTGAATTGAGTACCGTTTAAGCCGGTGCTAGGGGCGTGAGAGATATTGCACTATTTCATTATCCCTCATGTTCAGACTCAATCAAACCGAGTCTGCATTTTTTGTGTTAAATGCTTCCGAGGGAATACTTTGTATCCAGATATTAAACGACAGAGACCTTTCTTAGTAAAGAATCAATGTGTTGCACTAAATTGACGGCCCTATTACATGTAATACAATTTAATATACTAAAAATTTATATGAAAAGTGATCGAAGATTTGAATTTGTTGATTTTTCTTCTATTTTTAAGTATTCTGAAAGAAGATCGGTCCTTTTATTGATCGATGTATAATTATGCATTTAATAAAGATAATCTTGAAATAAAACAAAAACAAGGAATCAATACTTTTACTCCAAAAGTTAATAAACCTATACATTTTTTTAAATGGCGACCTATTTCACTCTAAAAACCGGTTTATAAGCTAGCTTCTCGTTCTAAGCAAAAAGTTTGAAATCAGTGTTAGATATTTTAATAAATCAGTATCAAACGGACTTTGTAAAATGAAAATACATATCTTTTATATGATATTTTAGATATAAACAAAATATCCGATGACTGACTGAAAATGCATTGACAATTTTATCATATTTACAAAAACATTTAAATTTTCAATTTTTTGAACCACTGATAATGAAATTGATTAAAACTGTTTTATAAACTTAAGCTGCCCAGACAGCTGTACAGATGATTGGCTATTGTAAGATGTCTTTCCAAGTGGACGTGGCTATCGCCAAATTATATTATTATTTGTAATAACTGTTCAATCAAAACAGCTTATAAAACTATAACAAACCTTTTTTCCTATATGTTAAATTCCAAATTATAATGCAAGTAATAGTTCTACAGAGTGCTCTCCCCTTCATTTTTTGTACGGAGTATTTTCATTGGTCTAAGGTTTTCATACGACCAATGAAAATACTCCATACGAATGCTTCCGTTTATACATGTGTACTTTCATTTTGGATTGGAGAATTTGGCATAACGGACAAAAGGTTTGTTATAGTTTTATAAGCTGTTTTGATTGAACAGTTATTACAAATAATAATATAATTTGATCATATTTATATGCGCAATATAATGAAATATGCATTCATTTCGAATAAACTGCCGTTTAGTCGGGTAATTTTGAAGAAAACCTAGCGGTCAGGTCACTGTCGACTTACACTTGCAACGATTTCGAGATCAGATATCTTCATATAAATTGAAATGATTGTAATGACAACTTTATTTCCTTTAAGAGTAATTAATTCCCTACCATTTAGTACCAAGACTTTGAAAATTGGAGAAAAAATAATGGAGTTCATATTTAGATGAGTGCTAAAATATGAGCGGCGAGTGCATACCCTTTACCTTTACTAAATATATATGTATCAATTTTTATTTTTTGTAGGAAATGAAGGTTATTGAATTAAAAGCATAAACGCAAATATTAAAACATGTTTCAAATGAAAAAATACTGTATTTTACATGGTTTTGAGAGGTAGGAGGGCTGTAGAGTGGGTGTGGGGGGAGGGGGGTGCGGGGGTAGTGACCAATCAACGCGCCGATTACCTATGATTAAGACGTGTGTAACTAATTAAGTTTTTTCTTTTGTTCATGCTAATTTAATTACTTATAGTTCTTCAAAATCCAAATAATTAATGGATTAATAACAACAATAACATAGTTTTGATTACATATGGAATGGTACATATAGAATAAACCCTTGTTAATGAAGACTAATGATAAGGGGATTTAGAAATGACTGATGTATTATCATACATCATAATATAAACTGACATGGCTTAGAGACTACTTCTAGGAATGGATAATAAATCGCATGCATTAGCTAATGTTATCATGAATACTGAAAAACTGTTCAGATATAGTATATAGAAACCTAAACAATTATTTATAACTTTTAATTAATTTTATAACAAGCATGGATTTAATAGAAAAACTGTCTTAATTGCAATTTTCTTACAATTTGAAGGTTCCATTAGAAGCATCAAATACTTTTTAAAGGACATAACAGAACTAACCAGTGACAAATCGTTTTGTTAAAAAACAAACATTTTTGAAAATAAACTGTCAATTTGGTCCAATTTACAATAAGATTGTTTAATGTGGATTGCATTTTCATAAGTATTTCAAATATCAAAAAAGCCAAAAGAAATCTAATGTTAAGATATTGTCAAAATATTGATTGAAAAAATGTAAATAAAGTTCAAAGTGATTTAGTGTTAATATCTAAATATGTTTAATGATAATACTCCGTTCAAGAACAATTTATTAAATACTACATGTTTATAAAATATATGTGATATCGGATCATGTATCTCACACTTGCAAAAAGCAGGAGAGGGCACAAAAGCCCAAAAGTTAGACCATGGACACAATAAAGAGAAAGAAAGAGAAAAAAAGAAGAAGAAAATGTCAAAGCCATACAATAAAATGTTTCAAAACTTGTTAAATTACACAATTTCATAAAGATGTTAAGGAAATATCTGTGACTAATAACAATGATCTTCGTTGCATGCTTTTGCAGTTTTATATCTGACTGAAATAGAATAAGTTTTCAACTAGAAATAATTGAAGTACAAATTTGCAACTAAAATGCGCTTAAACAAGGTACATTTGTGCATTTGCTTTAAACTTGGACTATGCTTAATTAATACATTTACACAGTTTTCACAAAAACATATTTTAAATTGTTTGGTGGACTTCAAAACTGATGTGAATAAAATTTACTAAGATAAAAAACTAACAGAATTGACACTTGTCAAATCTCAAATTATGTACATTGCTAGTTTATTTATATTTAAATAACGTCAAATCAGAAGCTAGGAACCTGCAACCTAAAATCGAGTCAGCCATTAAACATTTTTATATGAATTGGCATATTCAAAATTTTCATGATAACATACAAACCCACTTGCTTGGAAAAAAGATTCGAGCGTATAGTGTGAATATTCATGTTCGGTAGCCATTTTGTCTAGGTTTCAACCATTACACTCACTTGAACCTACATTTCACATTATGTGCTTTCCTCTGTTCCTTTTCGTTGCCATGCTTGATGTCTTTGCATTCGTCTCGTGTAAATGAATTTGCCAGGGGATGCGTTTTGTGAACGTATCCGATATATTACTATATAATCACTATATGTCCTCTTCATAGATTTATATTTTAAACCATACTTAATTTTTTTTATTTTCTTTCTTTCTTTTCTTTTTTGTGATGATCAAGCAACGGGCAATATAATTTTGTTACTTTAGGGCAACACCAAGAGTGTATTCGAGCGCATATTTTGGACAGGGAACATTGCCAATAATTTTAGATGATGTCAGCTGTCATGGAACTGAAAGCACCTTACTCAGCTGTTCACACAGGGCATTGGGATTAAATAATTGGGCCAGGGTAAGATGTAGGCATTCGTGTTTCCCAATATGTCTCGATTAAAAAAATGTTCTGAAAATAAAGTTTTTTTATCCGGGGGATTTGAAACTTTCATTATCCTCATGTACAACTTAATAAAACCCGAGTCTCAATATTCATGTGGTTTTAAATCTTGGGGATTGATACTTTTCAGAATCTAAACCAAAAAAGCAGGGTTACGTGAGTGTTCAGCGTAAAATGTTCCCTCTATTCATTTTTCAGTGCGGGTCTTCGGGAAAATTTGGTTCGCATTTTTAAAATGTTGTAGAATTGATACCGTCAAGTGGTTACAAGGGTTGAGGATGTTGCAGACTTTTTCATTATCCCTCATGTACAGACTCAATCAAACCGAGTCTGCAATGTCCAATGTAGGTTTTAAATGCTTCAGAGGGATCATCTTTTCCAGATATTGTCTGAGGCGCAGGTTGTTTGTTTTCTTTAATGTGCTTAAGAGATAAATAATATTTAATTAAGGGCGATTTGCGTAAAACTAGATATTTTACAAATGAAGTTGTTTTTAGTCTCTGGATTCTTGTAAGGTAAGCTTTTTAGTACATTTTTATTCCCCTTAGAGGGTGGACATATACTTTCTGTCTTCTTCTGTCTTTTCTCCATCCGTATATAATCGTTCGTCCGTCACACTACACTTTTGCCTTGAGATTACTTGAAAAGTAGGGTAGGGATCCGATTAATATTTCAGACACAGAAATAGATATTGAAATTGTTTTGGGGTTTGGGAAGCCCAAAATTTTAATATAATAATGCTTGTCGGGATTTAAAAAGTTCATTTTTTCAATTTAGCAAATTGTCAAAAAAAATGAAATGAAAAGTATGATAACGAACGTTAATGTTTGATTCCCTTTATTTTAGACACACATTAGATAAAAGTATTTGTCCATGATCCATAATGTCAACTTGTATTCGTTGCATTTCAGGACTTCTTGTTCGTCTTGTCGGGGGAAGTACCTCACACCGTGGACGTGTTGAGGTATCTGTCGATGGTTCACACTGGGGAACTGTGTGTGATGATTCCTTCTCCACGAATAGCGCTAAAGTTGTTTGTAGGATGCTTGGATATCCATCGTATGTCACTTTGATGATACCATTCTAAACAAAAGTACATCTTAACCCATATATCTTAGTATACCTAAACACTGCAAAACTAATTACAATGTTTATCAACTATCTGATGACCACACAGTTTATAGCACTTGTAAACATACGTTATCATATTATTAAACTTAACGGTTTTTCTATTACAAGTAAATTGAAGTATCACTTTTAGAATGTTGCCGAATACAATATTTCTGCGCTACATAAAACGTAATAGATTTGAGAACGTTTCATGGCAATGACATTACGCAAATAAGTACTTACGTCAATTAGCCACTTATGTCATGTTGACGCCAGCATGTTTACAGCCGAATACTAGTGCATCCTAATACATTGAACTGCTTACACATTGCCTTCATAAATATCAAAATGATTAACTTTTGTAACTATGCATTTTTATTGGAAATGTCGTAATTTGGTTCCAAAAAGATAATTAACTTTTGCAGTATTTCATTGCTTTTGCTTTGGCATTGATTCGTATTCTCTTTAATAAAATGCAAGTACATGTTCATAATTTAAATGATAGTTGATATCGTGTTTCAGATCAAACGCGCGAGCTGATACAAGCGTAAGTTCGGGTAGTGGACATATTTTCTTAGATGATGTCAGTTGTAGTGGTACTGAAACTTCCTTAACAAATTGCCGGCATACCGTGTGGGGTACAAACAACTGCGCTCATTCCGAGGATGTTGGCGTCATTTGTGCATAGATCATAAATCATAACAATATTTTGAACCATGTAATTAAGGACTAATTATGATTGTAATCACCATATGATGTCAAACTTTGAAATAAAACAGCAAGCAATATTATGTACTACGTTGAAATATCATTCCTGGTTCGTGTGCAAAAAAACAATGCAAACTATTCTCTAAGTCTTTAACATACATTTGATAGTACGAAACTTATTCACGTAATTCATAATTATATTATACACTTTAAAAGCAAAACAGTTATAATAACGTAAAGGTAATTTTCTTACATGATTCTTTAAAACAAATAAGCTCATTTAATTATAAAGTGAACGCATTTTAAGTAAGTGCACCATTCTAGTGTTGTTGCGTCGAACAATTTTTATACCGCTAGAGTTGTTCGATGAAGTCAATCCCCTATCTAAAGTAAACTACGACTGAGACAGATTTATATCATTCTAAACATTTTATTTTTTACACTTTCTGTGGAAAAAAATAAAACAACACACCGGTAAGCTTACCTAAGTTTAGGTTTGATAACAAAAATAATTCGGTTTATTGAAAAGTTCGTCAAAATAAATTATCTCGGTAAAATTTGCCTTAGTTCTGTGCAGCGATTGTTGTTTTATCACGAGACAAATGAGACTACATGTAAATTCGGATATGTTTTCATTTGATAACATATGGCATTGTTTTTTGTTTTTTTTTGTTTAACATCTCACCAGTATACAGATTGGGTTCATATTGATAGGAATTATTTATTAAGAAAGTCTACTTTAAAAAGAAAAACATGAATCGACAATTAAAAATGCAAGTTATTGGAAATCAAGAAGGTTTGACAGGCAACTTCACTTATGTTGATTATCTCCATTTTTTGTTAACTTATAATACTGCACGTTTGTAACGTCACTTTTCATTGGATAATCGTGACGTTTATATTATTAGTTATAAAGATCGTTGACAGGTTATATGGTCCTATATAAACGGCTGTTTGTAAATATAACCCGAGCCGTTAGAAATCTTACTTTTTTCTAAAAAATGATGCTTGCTGTATTATAAATTCGTTATAAAGATTGTTGACAGGTTATATGGACGTATATGAACGGCTGTTTGCAATATAACCCTCGCCTACCGGCTCGGGTTATATTTACAAATAGCCGTTTATATAGGGTCATATAACCTGTCAACAATCTTTATAACTAATAATATACATATACATATAGGAAGCCAAACAATATTCTTGATTTTTTATTTTTTTTTGTGAACAATCAAAGGGTATATATGCGCAATTCATGTCTACCCGATGTAGAAATTTATTTGACCCTGTTTTAATTAAAAAGCCTGGTTTCGATAGTTTTTTGTCATTTTTAGTAACTGTTGATGAACCGTCAATATTTATATAATTCTATATTATGCAAATCATTTTTATTACACTTGGTTAAAATATCGAATACATTGATTAATTTGCTGAGCATAACATTTAATTATAATACATGTATATTTTCTGATATTTTCAAACTTATTGCTCATTGTCTAGTTACTTGAACCATCTTTCGTTTCTGTTACTTTTCCAAGAGTCTTTGGCATTTGAGACAGAATAGTTATTTAGTATTAAATCTTAACATTTTGCTCGTTTTATTTCAACTGCAGACCAAATGATTTCACATCTTCGGGTGATAGAAACTAGCATGCTCTATAAAACATTTAACCTTTTACCCATGAACATATTGTAAAAAATGCCCGTTTTCATTGAAAAGCCTCCTGTTACAAGTTCCAACTGCTATTTAACTATGAAAAATGCTTCAATACTGATGAAATTTGGCACATATGTTGACTGAAACATAACCTCATGCTCAATCTTAAATTTTCTGTTACCATGGCAACGGGGGAACGTCTCAAAATTGCAAGAAATCACTATTTTGCATTGTTTTTTTCATCAAAACTGATTTCAAAGTGCTGCAACTTCTTAATGCAATGAGATAGAGTAAAAGGCTTTTCAGCATTGGTTACACGTCACCTTAAGATCGACCTGAGGCCATTTTTAGCCTGTCACATGTCCAAAATTTTCTTGGCGATGTGGGGGACTACCCGCCCCGCCCCCCCCCCCCCCTTCAATCAAACCCCCAAACAGAAGAAGCGCATTTCTCTTCTGGCAACCCCCTGATGTAAAAAAAAATACGTTTATATCAGAGATAATGTTAAACATTGTAATATTCACGTTTGCCCTTTTAAACAAGGGAAAAACTAATGCATATAAGACTTTGTAATGAAAATACATTTTTCAAGTAATAAGAGTGAGTTCAATAATTCCAGTACATGCGATTAACAACTTTCAACTTCCCTTATTCCACTGACTGAAAAAAGCTGAAAAATATTTAGTGATTTTCGTGGAGTAAACGGCACACCCATACCGTGTAATTGTAGTGAATAAGGTAATAGAAAGAGCATCAAAACACGAGGCTATCTGATTTGTACGAGGGGGGTGGGTAGCCCCACGACTGTTTGATTGCCGAGTGTTTTGAAGTTCTTTCTCTTTTGTATCATAGCAAAACATAAAAACACGTTCCCTGTTGTCACAATATGAAACCCCAGAAAAAAGTAACCGTTGAACGAGCATCTGAATATGATATTTCTATCGATTTCCCTTTTCTGTCGTCACAATAAGTAAATCCCAGAAAAAACGAGCCAATCATTGGGCATGCTCTGGAGTGCGGGTAACTAATACCTGCTAAACACTCCTCACAGCAGTTACGTCACGCTTTGCTACTTTAACCACTGCCACCACTGAAGTCACGTGACGATAGTTGTATCATGTGACAAAAACACATTTTCAGAACGTCAAGGATCCCATATCGAACTTGCAGATTTATAATTACGTCTCAAATTATGATACAAAATTATTTCCTGTTTTGTTTATTTCATGTCGGGAGTTGGCAAGGTTAGATATCTAGAAGTTAGTTGATTATGGCTTGTCTCAGTTTGATAACCACCCAGAAGAAATAAATTTACTTATTCACACACACGCACGCACCAAGACACACGCACACGCACTCACGCACGCACGCGCACACACACAGCCGATGGATGATGACAAGTCGGACCATATTAAGGAATATTGTAAAATCAAAATAATAAGTTTGTCTAGACAATTTACATACAAAATACGTTGTTCGGAGCATTTCAAGTAAAATTGGATAAATTGTATGTAACAGTTAAGAATCGTCTTTCACAGATATTGTCGCCTTTGAAATGATAAAAATTCCAAAGGAACACAAGAAAAAACATATACTAAGATGTGTGCAAATATTTCTTTGTGTTGAATATGTTATATTTGTATATCTTGACTTCTAAAGTATCTGAAGAGCATTCTTTACTGAACGTGTATATTACAGTGATGAACATGACAAACTAGTCATGCTCTTTCAATTTTCAATTCTTATTATTCTTATAAGGAAACATTTTACATAGTTTACAATATAAACAACAACATAAACATAATTTATTAATAAATTACAAAAAGCACAGTCGTGATATGGTACTTACTCAAAATAGTGACAAATATTCTCATCTAGATAGACATTATGTTACGAGTGCCAAGTTTTATTCCAGATATATATTTTATATGATACTATTGAGCATATGAAAACAAGTTGGAGAGGGATTCATAAAAAGGTTAAATTTTATTTTTGTCTAAAACAGCAATTATCAAATACATAAGGCTTTTAACTTTTCATAGTCATTTTTAAGTAAACAGTACAGAAGAGGACAAAACATGAACTAAATAAGAGAAAGTTACTGCAATACCGGTGTGATAGTTCTTATGTGTTTTCTAGAATTTCGAAACAATTGATTTTAATATTTTTTATTGTTAAAAACTTTTCTTCACACAGACACGACACTCATAACAAGGGTGATAAATCTTAAGTAATATCGGCCTATCTTTACCGAATAACAAATCAATATAAGCTCATATGAGTTGTCTCCCTTGTAATCGTTTTTATTCTAATTCTATTTCATCCCAATTAAACTAACGGTGCCGCCGTTGCAGTAAGCTATTTTTACATTGCACCTGAGTCACGTAAGCAATGACAGCACGTGCGCAATTTTTATGCAATAATGCATGTCTGAAACCAAAAAAGATAATGATAGAGTATCGTAGAAGAATATGCATGTATGTTGTTTAAGCAAGGTATGTAAGAATGCCTCCATTATGCATAGAAGACTTTTCCCTGAAAGGTTAAATAACACATTCAATTTAGACACCTTTTACAAAGGTATAGAAACATAGCATAATTTATCTGAACATGATTGCATAACTAATGCCCATGGTTGCCTTTTTATTGTCAGTAAAACATTGGTAAAAAAGAAATTCCGTCAAGCTTAAAAGTTTATATTTGTCACAGCGCACGTGCTAAAATAAGCTGCAATATTAAAAAATAACTAAGTTACAAGTCAAACCATACAATCATAACTTAAAACGGCCCTCCAGGTTCCTCATATGTAAAATACAATCGCTATGGTTATTGAAACTTTCGAATAATGATAGTTTGTTGTTTTTATGTCAATAAAATAAAAGACAATAAATGAAAGGATGGGTCTAGGGTGGCTCCATTTTTTGAATGCCTCCGTTTATTAATGTAAGAACTCTAATTGTTTCAGAATATTTTAAGTTATCTTGAAAAACAAAAAAGAAATAATAATATAAACATATTAATGCTTCACCATCAATGAACATTACACATTGTAATAAGCTATAAAAGTGTACATAAATTAAAGATAAGTTTAATATGACACTTTATTGGGTCTCTAGAGAACATTTAAAATATGCTTATTCTTATACATACGATATAAACGTGTCTCTCATACATAAAATGAATATTGAATATGCTTTTATTCCTATGATGTATTAAAGTTAATATTTCCCGACATCAAAAGGACCATGAGAAACATTTTACAAACACTCGCGTGATGTGCATAACAGTAATTGTTTGGACATATTACATTTGCAGTGTCTTTCCTTTAATAAGAATGCATGCAAAAAGAAACAAAGTAAATTATAACTGAATTATCCTGTAAGACAAAGGTACTCTGTTTATTTCATTCATTAGAAAAATAGGATT